GAACTCACAGAGATCCGCCTGCCTCTGCCTCCTGAGTGCTGGGATTAACGGGATGTGCCACCATGCCTGGCCTGTAAGCACTCTTTTTGAACCAGGCATGGTGGCACATGCCTTTAATCCCAGCACTCGGGAGGCAGAGGCAGGTGGATCTCTGTGAGTTTGAGGCCAGCCTGGTCTACATAGCGAGTTCCAGGTCAGCTGGGCCTATGGGGAGACCCTGTCTCAAAAAGACCAAAAAAAAAAATCATGACATTTCTCCTGCCTCAGCCTCCCAAGTGCTGGGATTATAGGTGTGCACCCAGTTATTAATATTTTATATTACATTTATTTTATTTTGTATGTGAGTGTGCCTATTTGTGAGTGCCATGGTGCAAGTGTGGAAGTCAGAGGACAAAGTATACCAATGTCCTGGGAATCAAACTCAGGTGATCAGGTTTGGTAGCAAGTGCCTTCACCCACTGGGTTATCTCACTGTCCCTATTCTTTGTGAATACTTCAATATTTCGTTGATCGCTTCTCCAGAGTTTGCACAAAAAGATCTCAAAGCCTCAAACTGAATGAAAACTAGTTCAGGCTCCCACAAAGCCCATGCAGCACTATCCCTCCCTCCCAGTTTCTCCCAGTCCCCTGTGAATCCCACATTTTAGCTGGACACAGGCCATGCTGGCCAGCCTCAGGGCAACTGCTGACTCATGCTTACTTGGGGATCCTAGACCCTAGCTCTCCTGCTACTCAACTAGAGCAGTCCCACCACCTCCCACCTGTAGGGACTTTGACGGTGTGCCCTGCTTGCCCTGGCCCACCCAACCCCGAGCCCACCTGGAAGACATCATTGGCACACTTGCGGCACAGATTGTGCTGGCAGGGCAGGATCACCACAGGCTTGGAGAACATCTCCAGGCAGATGGGGCAGATGAGCTGCTTCTCCAGGTTGTCCATGCTGTGCGCATCCCCTAGCAGCGGCTTGAAACCCACGGTGAAGTTCATCCCTCGGCGTTTGTGCCTGCCCTGGCTGTGGCCCTGGTCTTGGCCTTTTCTCACTGCCTCTGTATCCTTCCCTCCTTCACTTCAGGCCTTAGGATCCCTATTGCTCTCTCTTCGTGGCTCTGTCTCCTGTCCCTTCCTCTTACAGCTCTCCTTGCTTCTGGAGATCTCCAGACACTGTGTATATTGGTTGCTCAGAACCTTCACCAGGCACTTGCCGCTTTATCTTTCTTCCCTCCCTGCAAAATTCTCCTTTGGTTCCCCAAGCCACTCTCTCTTCACTCTGAGGGCAGTACTTGTTGTCCCTTACTCCTTAGAGAGGAGATTAATATTACCATGGGGGTGGGGAGACAAGGGGCATGTGGTGACATTCCAACTCCCAATTTAGCTCATGTAAGGCGAGCCACAGCTGTCTGGGACTGAGTGACCCCACTCACTCAGGAACGGCAGCTCTTGAGCAAGAGCAGGGGTGAGTATTACTACCACTTGCTTTGTTTTTTTGTTTTGCTTTTGTCTTTTTGAGACAGGGTCTCCCTGTAGCCCCAGCTGTCCTGGAACTCACTATGTAGACCAGGCTGGCCTTGAACTCACAGAGATCCACCTGCCTCTGCCTCCTGAGTGCTGGGATTAAAGGCGTGTGCCACCACGCCCAGCACAAGTATCACTACCACTTGCAATGGAAGGTAGGCCAGCAAAGGTGTGGGGCTCCTCACTTGCTGTCACTCTCAGAAGGCTCCTGTGAGCCATGGCCTCCATGCTCTGGCTTGGAACCTTCTTCCAGACAGTGAAACAATCTCTAAGCTAGATTAAACTCAGGGTGTGAGAGAAGCTCTGGACAGACCTGTAGACAGTGTCATCTTTTCCAACACAGGCTTAGCCAGGTACCCTGGCCCTCCTGGAAACCCTGTGATTCAGATGAGGAAGAGTAGACACTAGAGAGAGCACACATGTGAAAGTTAGACAGAAGACAACTTGTAGGAGTCAGTTCTCTCTCTCAGAGAGAACTCAAGTCATCAGGCTTGGTGACAAGTGCCTTTATCCACTGAGCCATCTTGCTGCACCCTATCCCCCTTTAAAAAATGTTATTTTTATGTGTATGAGTGTGCAATGCCTGCAGAGGTCCGAAGAAGGCATCAGATCCCCTGGAACTGGAGTTAAAGACGGTGTTAGCTGCCATGTGGGTGCTGGGTATAGGACCCAGGTCTTCTGCAAGAACAGCCAGTGCTCTTAACTGCTGAGCCATCTCTCTAGTTGCAACCACCTCCCTTTTTAAGACAGGGTCTCACGTATCCCAGGTTGACCTCAAATTCACTATGTCACCAAGGATGACCCTGAACTCCTGATTCTCCTGCCTTCACCTTCTGAGTGCTGGGATTATAGACATATACCACACCTGGTTTAGGAGGTGCTGGGAATCAAACCCAGGGCCTCATGCATGCTAGTTGAGCACTCAACCAACTGAGCTACAACACCAGCTCTTGGTCAGCCCTTTTTCATGTCACCTTAGATAGAGAATAGTTCAAGAGGCAGGGAAGTGGCTGCTCTGCTAGGCCTGGACCTCCCTTATGAGCATGTACTGAGTGTGTGTGGTTCTTAATCACTGAGGACACTGCAAGACTGTTAAATTTGCTTGGAAATTGGGAGAAACAGAGCTGGTTAGAAAGGATTCTGAATGCCAGGGGCTTATTTTGGACACCAGGGAATCAGTCTTCAGGGAAATCATAATACATTGACAAAGTCACCATCACTAGGCTCTGAGAAGCTTTGACCACAAATCCACAGTGGTCCTCAGCTCTACTGTCTGTGCCAGCCTCATCATTTTCATCCTACTGGCCTTTTTCTCCATTTCACATACAATTTGTCTTTTTGGGGTCCAAGACATACACTGAAATTGGACAAACCTCTTTTATTTACTGATGTTCTTTAGCCCTTTTCCCAGTGAGGGGAGAGAAGCTGAGGGGTTCCTAGGCTCTGAACCCACATGGATGATAAGTGGAGGATATGGAGAGGATACCAAGCAGATAGCACAAAGAGGCAAGAGCGAAATCTTCAGAGTACAATCTTTCCACATCACGTTTCATACCCGTGCATTAAGAACAAGATATATGATCAGCCTGCATTAGGCACTGGCACATGGCCTGCAGGCAGTCCATAGGACCAAGGCTGATGTGGGTGCAGGGGTGGGACTGAAGTCCATAAACCTCAAATTCACTCACACGTTTCCCAAGCTATTTCATGATGAGGCATTGATGCCAATGGTATTGGTACCAGAAAGTGGTGAGACCAGCCTCCGAAAGCTGTATTGCTGATGCTAGTTCTTGGTACACAAAGTTGCAACAAAGGAGGATTAACTGGTCCAGAAGCTCTTGGGACAGGATCTACCTTGTTCAATTATCAGGATCTTGGTGGAGATATCAGCAATGGATCTGCTTGATACTGACTCAAATGCCAAGGCAGGTACAAGAAAAAGAATCTTCAGGACAAGTCTGCCACCACTGCCTAACACCTCATATGGGTAGAAATGGGAGAGGTGCTCTCTGAAGATTAAAAGTAGAGCCTGGGCTAAAAAGAATAGCTGGAAAAGCCTGTATGGCAGGGTCAGTGGTACTACTGAGGGTGCAGATGATGCCCTTACTAGGATGGATGTCATCAATGCTTCTGAAGTAGGGCTTCTCATAAGAAGGTAAGTCAGGGTCAATGTCAGGGCAGGGCTTGTTCTCTTCAAGGTGTCCAATGGACTAGACAGCAGAGGGTACCCTACCAGGCCAGTACCTAATGGCAGAAATGGTACTTTATTAACCAGAAGGAATAACCACTTGCAATTTAAAGTACACTCCTCAATGTAAGAATGTAAACATGGTGGTCAATGCTATGAGGATACAGACATTTCATTAACGACCCAGCTGAAGTTACTTTGCATGCTTCCCTTTTTAAAAAATAGAGAGAGAGAGAGAGAGAGAGAGAGAGAGAGATTGATTAGAGGATAATCTGCAGGAGTTGATTCTCTTCCTCTACCACGTGTCCAGAGGGTTGAACTCGGGTTGTCAGGCTTGGTGGCAAGGTCCTTTACCTACTGAGCCCCTATATGCTTCTCTTATCCTTTAATCATTGCTGCTTTTCAGGTTACATACCTTACTCTTCTTCACATTTCATTAATCGTCACCATCTTCGTTTCTTTCTAAAGTACGTTTTGCTCCTATGATGGAATTATATATGCTTACATGTCTACAGTAACAAAAGGAACAATTTTAGTCTACAGATGAAGAAACCCTTAGCTTGCAGTTACTCATTAGCATCCTGAGGTGGCACTGGTATGAGCTTCAGCCAACATAGATTTTAAACATTTAACTATTTGGCGTGGGAATAATCTCGGCTATTTCATCTCTCCCCCTACCCCACTCCAGGGACTGGGGATGGAATCCAGGGTCTTCCATGTGCCAGGCAAGTGCTCTATCACTGATCTATATCCCTAACATATCCTTCTTTTGAGTCCTTGCAATAAAGTGCATCTTTGAACCACTCTTCAACTATTTCCTTTTCAAGGCATGCTCCTTCAGAGTCAGGAAAGGCCAGTGCTACACCCAGACTGTCAGTCTGCAGCATAAGGAACATAGTGTCTTCTCATTCTTCTTTTTGCCCCAGTGCAAGACTTGAAACACATTTAGGGTTAGCCTGCCAGTTTCACAGGTCTTCCTCTGCCCCTCACCCTCGCTGCCCTTATCGTTCCCGATTCAGATTTGACCCCAGGCCCACTCTCTGTTCCTCACCTGACTTTGATGGCTGAGAATATACATTTTCATACTTGATGTTAGTCTCCTCAGGTGGTGGTGCAACTCTTCCACAGCAAAGGCAGAAGGAGCAGCAGCAACAACAACAAGTTAACAGGCAACAGAGGATGACAAGAGTCTATATGGCAGGAGACAGACCCACAGTTCTTTTGCAGTTCCATTCAAGCTCCCCTCCTTCTATTCTCCTCCCACACAGAAAACAAGACAACAGAAGCATTTGTCCTGGGAGAAGAGGCTCACCCTTCCTTCCTTGTTCTTTTGAGACAGACAAGATCTCACTATGTAGCCCAGGATACCCAGAGATCCTCCTGCCTCAGTCTCTCAAGTGCTGAGATCACACACATGTGCCACAATGTCTGATTCCTTTCTTACTCTTGAAGGACTAGGAAGAAGGGTGTACCTTGAACCAACAGCTGTGCACTATAAAATAGTATCTGACGCCTTCTTCACCAAAATGATCATACAGGTATATTCCTAATGAGCCATGCTGGTCATAGATTTTCCTCTTTGTAGGGTCACTGAGTATAGCATGGGCTGTGTTGATCTCTTTGAAGAATTCTGCCGCTTGAGAGTTCCCTGGATTCTTGTCTGGATGATACTGCAAGGCCAGTTTCCTATCCAGGCAATACCCAAAAGGACAGGAGAGGGTATAGGAAGTGGCTGAGGTGGGAGGGTTAGGACGAATGGTGGGGATAGGTCTCTAGATAATGCAAGGGATACATGAGATATGGTCCAAAGGAGGAGCAAGGTCTATATTTCTTCTCATATCACCCTGAAGAGGGTGGTAGCCTCCTTTGGTCCCCAAATAAAGTCTTCTTAGGATCTAAAAGAAATGGGCCAGAAAGCAAGGCAGATAGAAAAAGGAATGGGGAGGGGATCCCAGGGTTCAATAAAGGGTAGGGGTCTGAACCTGTAGGCCTTTTTGATGTCTTCAGGTGGGGCACCCATCTTTAGCTCCAGCAGGGCATAGAGGCTTGTCCCACTTTTGGATAGTCTCCGGGCTGTTTGATCCAGACGAGACATACTCTGGTCCAAAAGGACAAAAATAAGACAGCAGTGAATAACTTAAATCAGAAGAGCGTAGATGACCAGCAAGGTATTCAAATGCAAATATCAAAGAGGAAACATCTTCCCCCCACATCTTCCAGCACAACTCCAGGTACCCACAGTCTAGAGAGGCATAACAAGGAGTAGCCTAAGGCAGGGAAGAGAGTGATTTTCTCCAGAGCTCCTCCTATACCTGGAGTAAACGACCCTGCGCTCTCCAAGCTGAAGGCTGGGTTTGAAAGACCAGGGTAACCCAGCTCCTTGAATAGCTTAGAAGAGAAACCAAGAAAATCCACAACTGCCAGGGGAGAACTATCCAGACCAATACCGGGCTGACGGTGGAAGTCAGGTACCAGAAGCCCAGCAGAGACTTGCTTCCTACTCCCAACCATCCCCCCTCTGCCCCTCAGAGACCCAGCAGGCAGCGCTGAGAGCAGGATGGAGCAGGAAGACGACAGGAGGTGCGTCAGGGGAAGCACTCTGAGGAATCCAGAACAGGATCGGAGCTAGGCAGCGTGGAGGCCTGTGGGCCCAGGAGTCAAGACAAGATGGGGGCTCCCTGTGCTCTGGGTCCTCTGTGTGTGTTGACTCCTGATCGGGACCTGGCTCTTTACGTCAGAGTTGTTCTATTGAGCCAGATAGGCTTCACACACCCTTCCTTCCTCCTCACGGGTGTGAAACTTCATTCTGTGGTTGGGGCTGTGGCCCACTGCGCGTGCGCACTGTAGGCACGCAGGGACTCGTTTTTTTGGCGCAGATGCCAGCAGAGAGTGGGGAGGCCACGTTGGCCCTCTGTTTTCAGGCACTTTGATAGCTGTTTGAGTGGCTAGAATCACAGTGTGAATTCCCCCTCAGATGGCTTATAGAGATGGAGAAAGAGAAGAAATTTAACCATTATTTGATTTTTAGGTTAAAACAATAGTGGGCCTGTCTCTCCTCAGTGTTGAATTGAGCCACGGTCATGATGTCCTATATCTGGGCAGCATTTTCCTTATTGAAAAGAAAATCATTAGTGAGAAATAGTTGTCTAAGTAACATCTACATATGATTAAATCTGTTGTTGAGAAGTTTCAGTCCCTTGGATGGTTGAAAAAACATACCAGTTATTTTAATCTTTGGTTCTAGTTTTGCACTGAGTGTTTAAGACCATGCAGGTGGCTATAAGTAACCATTTTGGGGGTGTCTTTTTTGAGACAGGGTCTCCTTGTAGCCCCAACTGGCCTTGAACTCACAGAGATCTGCCTGCCTCTGCCTCCCAAGTACTGGGATTAAAGGTGTGTGCCACTATGCCTGACCAATTAACCATTTTTTTAAATTGTCAAGGTCTATTGAGGATTTGGTCCTTGGGGGTCTCTTGGGCTTGGGAGGAGCTTCTGGCTCCTTTTTCTAGCCTTCTTTTTTACCAGTTGTTTCATCTGCGTGAGGATAAGTCGAAGCTCTTACTTGACGGAGACTTCACTTGGAATTATGGAGGGAACTTTTCCTCTGTGTTGACCTTCCTCTTTTGTAGACTGAATACTGATCAGAGTCCACCTGGTGGAGTTTCCCTGGCTTCCCTGAACAAGAGATTGCTTGACTCACCAGGGCTAAAGGACATTTTGAGAAAGTCCCACAGTCCCCTGGGACCTAGTTGACCTTGGAGAGCAAGGGGGCAAAATACTGTCCTTTTAAATTCCTTTAACCATGTAAGTATAGGCCACCAAGTATGGTTATTGAACACCCAGAAGGTCAGTTGCACCAATCTGTTACTTTTAACTACTGTGTAATATTTAGATACAGCAAACCCAGACTTTTAAAAATAAACCTCTCAAGGGATGGTGATGCCCGCCTTTGATCCCAGCACTTGGGAGGCAGAGGCAGGCAGATCTTTGTGAGTTGGAGGCCTCAGGGAGACACTATCTCAAAAAGACAATAAATAAATAGATAAACCTTGATTAGACACATATTTTTGTTTTTTTAAGCCACTACTTATAACTGTTACCAAGAGTAGATTGATAACTTATGAGAACTCCACTGATTTAAGTAGAGTAGAGGTTTGACATTACTGTATTAAAATTTGATCTTAGAAATTTTGATAATATATATCATTTCTAAGTTTCATGTTTTATATACCTTTTTACAACTTACTCAGATCTTTTATGACTTGTTTTAGGCTTTGTTTTCTTCCATTGTGAGAAATACCCAACAATCTTAATCTTTATATAGAAATCATCTTTTATTAAAAAATAATACTTTGGGGCTGGAGAGATGGCTAGGCAGTTAAGAGTACTGACTGCTTTTTCAGAGGACCCAGGCTCAGTTGCCAGCACCTACATGGTTGCTAACAGCCATTCTTAACTCCAGTTCCAGGGGATTCAACTCCCTCTTCTGGCTTCTGTGGGCATTGACCACACAGGTGCACTCACATACATGCAGGCAAAACACTCATACACATAAAGTAAAAATTAATTAATTTAGCTGGCATGGTGGTGCACGCCTGCAGTTCCAGAATTTGGGAGACAGAGGCAGGTGGATCTCTGTGACTTCAAGGCCAGCCTGGTCTACATAATGGACAGCTGGGGCTACAAGGAGACCCTGTCTCAAAAAGACCCCCCAAATTAATTAATTTTAAAATATCTTAATTTTAAAAATGATTTTTATTTTATTTTATGTGTATTCATTGTCTGCATGTATGTAAGTGTACCTGTGTCATGTAATGCCCGTGGAGGTCAGAAGAGGGTGTCAGATTCCTGAAACTGGAATTACAGACGATTGTTAGTCGCCATGTGGGTGCTGGGAATTGAACCTGCATCCTCTGCAAGTGTAGCCAGTGCTCTTAACCAGAGTCATCTTTCCAGCCCCAAATATCTTAACTCTTATATCCTTCTTAAGAACTCTCACTGTTTTTTCCCTTTAAACAAGGTTACGGTGCTGGCGCTCGCCTTTAATCCCAGCACTTAGGAGGCAGAGGCAGGCGGATCTCTGTGAGTTCGAGGACAACCTGGTCTATGTAGTGAGTTCCAGGACAGCTGGGGCTACAAGGAGACCCTGTCTCAAAAAGACAAAAACAACAACAATAACAACAAAACAAAAACAAGTTTACACCATGCACCAGGCATGGTGGCACACACCTTTAATCCCAGCACTTGGGAAACAGAGACATGTGCATCTCTGTGAGTTTGAGGCCAGTCTAGGCTACATAGGGTGTTCCAGACCTGCCAGGGCTACACAGTGAGACCCTGTCTCAAAAAACCAAACCAAATAAACAAGTAAACAAAACCCCCAAACAAAAATAAATTACATACATGGCACATAGTGGTAAATAAGATTGTCTACATACATATTTTTAACTACCAAGCTTTTTGGTTTTTCTGCTGTAAGTCTTAAGCAAATCCCCTCTGCACTTGTACGGTTACATCTCCCTACCCTATGACCTCACCGAACCCAAGAGTTAGAAAAAAAAAAGTTTTCATTTTAGTAAGTGTCTTAGCACACTTTTAAATTGACCTTGAATGATGGAATACTTTCTGCAAACAAGGAAAGGCAGAAAAGGGGGATGGGGTGATGGCTCAGTGGTTAAGAGCACTGGCTGCTCTTGCAGAGGTCCCAAGTTTGATTCCAGGCACCCACATGGTGGCTAACAACTGTCACTCCAGTTCCAGGGGATCTGATGCCCTCTTCTGACTTCTGTGGGCAGTGCATGGCATGGGTGCACTTTACTTACATGCAAATAATACACGCATACATATAAAATTTAAAAAAGAAAAGGCAAGGGCTGGAGAGATGGCTCAGCGGTTAAGAACACTGGTTGTTCTTGCAGAAGACCTGGGTTCGAATCCCAGCACCCACATGGCAGCTAACAACTGTCCAGTCCCAGGGGATCCAGTGGCCTCTTCTGACCTCCACAGGCATTGCAGGACACAGGTGCACTTACCTTCACGCAGGCAGTACACTCATACACATAAAATAAAAAAATAAATAAAAGGCAGAAAAGAAGGCACATCAGAGCCAAAGGTCTTTACATGTTAACCCTGTAGTTGGAGTTTTAGATGACAGAAGTCACTTACTTTCCTTGTTTTAGTTAGGATAGAGAGGAGCAAAGCAGTTCTGCCGTCAGCTAGAAAAGTAATTTCTTCTCCCTCCAATCTTACCCTGAAATCTTTCAAGTTTTCCCAGTGGGACCTAATAACACTTGACTCCCCTAATCCTCATCAAAGTTCATGAAAGGGATTGTTTTTGTCTCCTTTTCTCATTTTGAGCATTCTTTTTTATTTGTAACATTTATTAGCCATTTTAGGATTTCTTATGTGTCTGTCTTTTTTTCATTGTTTGGATTCCTACCCAAGACCAGAGTAGGGACTGAGAGAGGCTGTCAAACTTATGCCCTCTTCATCCTATAGTGTTTTGTTGTTGTTGTTTTAGTGATCTGACTCCCCAGATGTTGCTCCCAAGTCTCTGTCCATCCTTTTATAGTTTCTACAGTGCAGAGAATGATCTACCCTACCATGTTTGGGGTTTTGATGAGTATAAGTAGCAGATGGAAGTAGCAGACAGAGCAGAACATCACCAAATCAGCATTTACAACATCTAGCAGAAATGAACTGAGGAAGCCCTGTTAACCATCTTACTGGAGTCACAGACTGAGAGTTTTTAGACAAAGAATCCTCTCTGTCCTCTCCACGGATGAACATCCCATTAGCTGGTTCCACTATAGGCATCTTTGTATCATGAAATACATAATAGTAACCTCCATTAGAAATAATTCACCCCTTAGCTAGATCTCTCTATCCTCAACTTTCAATAGCATCATAGGTCAATAGAAGTAGTGGGACAAACCAGCTCATTTCTGTACTGCACTAGGAAGGAAAAGCAGTAGGCATTAGAAGTGCAGCACACTTGCAATAGATTCCTTACCTTAGTTTTCCAGGCCAGTGTGGGTCTGCCCCTGCCTCTTACTCCAGCCTCATAAAGAACCATCGAGAATCTGCTTGCTCTGG